CTCTCTCTCTCTCTCTCTCTCTCTCTCTCTCTCTCTCTCTCTCTCTCTCTCTCTCTCTCTCTCTCTCTCTCTCTCTCTCTCTCTCTCTCTCTCCTTTTATATTTTTATACACATAGAAAAATGTATGCTGTATTTAAGGTAAACATTACTTGTATCATGTATTTCATAATTTTACAATTTATATCCATAATTTCACATTTTCACAAATCTATTATAAGTTTATCATAAGCATCAAATTTATTCACTTCAATATATTATGGATTCTAGCAAGTGTAAGACCTAAAAAAATTAATACAAAAAATAATAATATAAAAAAATAATAATTAAAGTAAAAAATCGATTTGTTTCTTATCGACTAATTAAATTAATCATATTTATAATCTAATTGTTCTTCGATAAAATTTTATGATATTCTTTAGAAGAAAATAAATTCTTTTTCTGAGTGCATGGGTTTTTCTAAAATTTATTTTCTAAAATTTGGTAAGTATATTTTAAGACTCTTATCAAGAAAGTTGTTAAAGATAATTGTTATTTAAAAGAAGAAAAATAAACTACAATAAATATATATACTATAAACTATAAAATAAACTAATCACTTTTCTTAACAAGAAAATTATAATTTTCTGTATATACACATATATTCATAAAAAGAACAATTTTAAAGAATCTAAGAATCTGATCAGACACAGATAAAATAATTTTCTTAATGCATTGTTATATAAGCATGATAATATTACTACAAAATTTGGTTATATTTGGTTATGACAACTAATTTGAACAGCTTGCATAATTATGTCACTTTCAACGAAATGATTTTTAGATCTATAGCTGACTAAATTTTTATATCTTTTAGCAAAATTAATTTTTTGTTGTGTGTACATATATATAACACACAAATTATATATATATATATATATTTATTTATTTAAATGTTTGTGTATAATACATTGGCATCGATATCTGTTACCAATCATTTATTAGGCATTCTTTTCAACAAGAATGCTTTCATATTGACTTTATTCGAGTTATCGCCGACAGCTGAGAGAAAACATCAGATTTTTGTATACAAACGGAACACAATTATTATCGAAAGTGAATAGATGAAGTAACATTAAATACGACAAGAATATTAAATCTTTATTACAGCCGACCGGGGCTATTGAGTTTTGTTACCGCGACGTAATGTGATTTAAGAACTTACCACGTTATATCAAATGGACTAACGGATACTTATCGCTATAATCGCGTTTACGGAGCCTCTTGTCACGGTCGGAGCGCTTTAATAAGTTACACAAAGGAGCTACTGGAAATCTGCTACGCACATTACATCGCGCGGTCGTCGAATATAATATCTCTAATGAAACGGAACGTTTATCCCGGAGTCACGGCTAATCCTTTGATTTCTTAATCGGAATACCGCGGGCGTATGTTTGCGTGTTGTGACAGCGGGCATTATCGTGTACCGATTACGTGCGCAACATCGTGGGCTATAGGTGAGAGCGAGGTGGGGTCGTGAGAACCCCATCTGCCCGCAGAAAGGGTGGACGGGAGCCGGGCGAATCGAAAGCGGGACGAGGTAGGAGGCGCGCTTTCTCGTCGAGGGTGGAAATCACTGTCCGCAGGCATTAAGCATTCATGCGTGCCAGTTGCGTGAGGCCCCGTCGCCGCACACCCCGCAATACGCACGCGATACGCGAGCGCGCGTGCGCGTACGCGTATATGTGTGGGAATGTGAATTCGCCGTAGTGAATTCCGCCGACGCTATAATTCGGTAGGGGTCGGTAGGAATGTGATTTTTGGTCGGCGCAATATGTCGCCGGGGCGAGCGAATTTCGCCCTTGGCGAATAGCTTGTTTGCCAGAAAATCGGAGAACAGAGATCGGAAGGTCGGCTCGGATAGGCTTGGCTTGGCGAATGCGGGAGGGATGGAGAGTGAGGAAAGATCGGTCTTCTCTATCTCTCTCAGGCCGTAAATAGAAATATTTTTTTCGATTTCGTATGAAAAATCGCACACCGAAAATGTAGCTCGTCGTGAAAATATTGACACGCGAATAAAAGCGAAAGATGAATGTAAGTAAATTGACGCATGAGAAGCCGTTGAGAAATCTCAGTTTACAAGAATTAAAATATTGCTGGCAATTACTGATGACGATACATAAATTGTCGATAGATAGAGAATCGGATAATGAATAATGCCGAAGCTGGGTGTTTCGCTCATTACACCGCGCTACGGAATGCAAAAAGACACTGAGCATTGTGATGCACTTGCATTCGAAGAAATTTGTAACGCAACGCGGAGACAACGCTCTTAGCTCTCGTAATCCGAGAGAATTGCCACGGTAGCTTGAAACAAACATGAAATTTACACGCCAATTGGATTGCGATGCGAGATTGCGATACGATGTGGCGATTTGACGGGCGTCGATATACGTAATTATTTCTCCTATGGAAATTTTAAAATGATATTTCTAAAATTTTATCATTTTATCGATTAATTATTCTGCTATCGAAAAAAATCGCACAAACAAAATATTAACGTTTTTTATTTTAACAACTGAATAATTCCGAGCGAAACAGGAACTCTAATTAAAATCATTTTATCGTAATAGATTGCAAGAAGGCACCGTGAGTTTGTACGCAGCAATTGCTACAATGACAGATTGTGCTGAATGACGATCGCACATTCCTTTGTCAAGTAGAGCGTAACTCGGTGGCAAGCATTCGAATTAATAGCGTAGACGTAGCTTTCGATTTATTTTTGGGCATGATTATAATATTGTGAGCACATAACTTATGCAAACATCCAATTTCACCAACAGTATAACGAAAAAATCTTATAAATCAATAGTTATAAATATTTTATAAATCAATAATTTGTTTAAGATGTTTTACATGTTTTATTTGGCATATTTTAACATTAAGTATAAGAAAAATTCTCGAAAAAATTAATTTTTAAATCATCTTATTTTACTTCTTACACAATAATAAAATAAAAATATAATATCTCGTATAAACTATGAATTTTTTATTTTATCACTTAATAATTTTATATATAGAATAACTAAAGAGAAATTGTATGACAAATCATATAATTTAAAAAACAAAAAACAATATTTAAACGTATGTATAAATAATGTATACGTTCAATTATATTTCATTAAAAATATTTGAAATAATTTTTTTCAAATTCGTTCTTTGTTTTTCCCGTTCACTTATTATGTAACTTATAACAACAATTTCGTTACCATTTTACTACATAGCTATTTTATGATATATCTTGTTTGTTCAGGATTTGTAACGTATATGTTATATCTAATAAAAGATACAGAATATAATCCATTTGCCTGATAATCGAGAAGCCTAAATAAACAGGAAAACTATGATGGAATAATCTTGAAATATCCAAAATATATAAAGATCCGAGAAGAGAAAAGGAGTTAAAGCAAAAATTTTTTGAAAAATCGACCATGCATCTCGTCAATGATGATTAAGTGTTGCCTACAAATATCTTTTGAAGTTTTCGCAAAAGACATATGTTAGTCGGCATCAAAAAAGAGAAAAGGAACTACGGCTTAGAGGAATAATTTTGTTTTCCATTTATCAAGATGACAAGCAATGTCATTCCCAAAACTACTATTTTACCCCCTTAGTTATGCTAAAATTGTCTTTTCCTAGCATGAAAATCATCAATCAAAGCAGGACAGAATATTTACTCACTTCTGCTAAGAAAAGTCGTTCTTGAAAAACCTTTTGCCTAGCACAATATCATCTGTAAATATGCAAAATCCAAAATTAATGAAAATTAATCTCTCAATCTTTTGCTCTCCTTGAATTTTGTTGGAACAAAAAAGTTGTAAATAACATTGCGTTGCACTCACAGATTTATTTTAATACACAGTGAAACATGTAACACGATCATTTAGCATAAAATGTAACAACATTGAAGGAATTCGTGATC